TCTATACTGAATCCGCAGTTGGATAATATAGATCCAAGGTATTTTTTATACTTTGGTTGAACACCAATATCTCGCATACCTTTGGAGGTTTAAGAATCGATTTTGTATAAATTTCCCAATGTTTTTATTGCCACCTATATTTTTACCTTATGTATCTGCTTTTCTAGGCGATTTTTCACCGACTATGAGCACAATGCCGTGGTTCGGTTTTCTCGCATTTTCGCTGCAAATATCAAATCAACTTCCAAAGCAGAGATATGGTGGCCTTCGAAAACTTTTCATAAGAAGGTCAACGCTGAGGTTTGTTTATACTTCTCTCAACACTTTCAACTAGTAGCGAAAATCGTAGTAAAGATTCTTTCGAAATCCTCACATTCAATGTTGTTCCAGAAGCCGCCTGTCAAAACTGAAAAGAAAAAGTTGGCACTTACATTTGCTCCGGATCCTCCTGTTGAGATGCTGGCACCGGACGAGGAGGTGCGTCTGAAAGTTGCAGTGAAACCATTGCTAAATTGCAGTCTATAGGCTTTGATGCTTTCTTCCAAATCAAAAGTTTCTTCTCAAGCAAGTACATCACATGCTAATGACAAGCAAGCTGAGGACGCAATGGCTCCTTGGAGGGCAGGACCTGCAAAAATATGGTTGGCACTTTACATCAAATAGTCATTTTGTTCTTTCGTTCTGATCTTTTATTGTTTTTTACTCAATTTGTGGACATCGTTAGGCGTTTTCAAGAGTGTTTTTTGTTTTTGTCAGTTTCTAGTAATTCTAATAACTCTATCAAGTGATAGTTTTTTCTGTACTGCTACGCTATTATGTTTGTACTGTCACTTTGCTATTGCTGTTGAATTTCTCTCCCATTTTGGTAAATCTAGGTATGATCGTGCTGGAGTACCTTCAACGGCGTCTACATATGACTATGGTTTGGTCAAAAGGAGAAGGGTAAGTGGTTTTAGTCTTATATCCATTCCATCATCTTTACTCCTTAGGAAGACATAAGCACTCGAGAACAAGCGCAGAAATTGCTGCCTGCTGAACTTATTGAGTGGGAAGATGAAATTATGATTGAGAGCGATGATTTTCGGGAAGAAGTAAGCTATACCTATTGAGGTTGTTTGTTGGATACTGTAATCTCCTCTTTTGTAGGTCCTGGACGAGCTGAAGTATGGTGTTGAGCCGGCTTGTGGATGGGTGCCGACACAGTATACGAGAACGTACGAGCAGTACATGCTGGCAGGTTGATCTTTGATTCATTTCACGACCTTTTCCATATTTTCCATATTTTATGTCGACATTGTCTACAATTTTAGTGAAAAATGACGCGTTTGATCTGATGTTCCAACCGGTTCAGAAGGGAATAACGCCGTCGCCCATCACATTAGCGCCTCATCCTGGTAGCTTCAAATATCTGTGTCCTTATCGCTTTCTGACTAAATTCTCTTTTTTTCCGAAGATATTGTCACCGAACCGAGTGCATCGCACTCGTTGTTTCCTCATGATTTCGTCAGCCAGCTTGATTACCGATGGGAGGATGATGTGATCTTGGACCCGAAGCATGTGGATAGGATCACGGGTACTCTTTGTTTAGCTTTTTTTGTTCTCTCCTGTCATTACAAATATATAAATTCTATTTTCCTGCTGAATTTGTTTGATTGGTAATGCTTTCTTGACTCCAATTTTTTCTCCCGTTGTCCTACATTCCATTTTGTCCTACAAATCTGTATTGCCTGTCCGTAATAAGCAGATTTATTTCAAATGAGGAAGTGGAGTCGATAAGACTGAAAATGTATTTACAGAGCCGAAGGTGCTGTCTTTGGACTATTTGGATGATCCCTTGATTTATGGAATGCCGGATGATCGACGGTCAGACGATCCGATGGACGCTCCAACTAATAAGCCGTTTGACCGCAAGGTATTTTCGTCAGTAATTCGTCCCAGCTCTTTCACTTGCAAATATGCATCTAGGAGCATCAGTTTACGAAGAAGTCGAAAATGATACTTGGGCAAGTGCAACAAAGGCAAAAGCAAGAGGAAGAGGAGCAGGTAGATCACCTAGAAATAAAATTTGTTTTGAATCTCAATCTTTTTGTTTAGATGGAAACCTCTGTTGCGCAAATGACGGACAAAGATCCATTTAACCTCAGTAATGATGATTACTATCTGCCGAAGACTATCAATAAGTATGTTCAATTTCAACTATTTCAGTAATACAACTCTTAAACATGTTTCTTAAGGTCTGGTCCCGCTGGTAATAGCATGCTGATACAGCACTCGATTCCTGCTCAGAACATTCATAGAACGTTCTTCCCTACATTCCTGTTACCATCGAAGTTGCGGCACTTCCATAGGTATCTCCGCCTCTATTTGAATGTTCTCACACGATCCTTCACTTTTTTAGGCAACCTCTTTCCAAACGTGTTATAAGACAGTTCAACGGAAGATGGGTGGACATCAAGAAGTTGACCAAGTACATCAAGATGAAAGAGGAGGTGAGCTTTCAAGCATACTTCTTTATATGTTTTACTTCCACTTCTCTTCACCACTCTTTTTTTCTACTGCTTGTAATTTTAGCTGGTATCGTATCACCCAGATTTTTTTGTTTTTTTAACCGATTTTTTCCTATATCATCCTAGATCTGTTTTACGTTCACTTTTGTTGTTTCCTGTCTATAATTTTGCATTTTGAACAATGGTCATTGCAAATTTTTACGCCAATGTTCCCTTCTAAATTTACAGCAACGAGAGAAACAGCGATGTGCCGAAGGTGGTGGCGACATCTTCTTTATGCGTGATGTAGGTGATCTCAGTGGACGAGATGGTGATCTGGCGTTACTGGAATACTCCGAGGAACATCCTCCTTTGTTGTGTCAGCCTGGAATGGCATCAAAAATTAAAAACTACTACAAAAAGGTCGGATTGCAAAGTGCGTTGCCAGTAGTCAAGTGATTGTCGCATTCCAGAAGCCTGGAAAAGATGTCGATCCTGATTTTGAGTACGGTGATATGGCCTACTTGCATACCATTCCTTTTCTTGGGCAGCTACAACCGGGTCAAGCAATGCAATCAGTTGAAAATAATCTGTATCGGTAAGTAGCGATGTTGGCTGATAGGCTCTATTCTAGCGTTTCTATTTTAGCGCTCCCATATATCGGCATTCACCTCAGCACAACGATTATTTGCTCATTCGAAACCGCAGCGGGTAGGCTTTGATGTTTCACTTGTCCCTGTCAAATTGCTGAAGTTTAGATGGTTCATTCGACCTTGTCCGCCTTTGTTTCTTGTTGGTCAAGAATGTCCTCTCTATGAAGTTCCAAGCCCGAACTCTAAACGAGCTACTATTTTCGTCAGAGATTTTCTTTTGGTAAGCGATATGATGATGATGATGACTTATGGTGGTGAAATTGTTATTTTAGGCGTTCATCTATCGTCTGTTTTGGGCTAGTGAGCATAGACCTCGTCGTTTGAAAATGGACGATATTAAAGCAGCCTTCCCTCACTATGCTGAGAGTAGCGTACGAAAGCGTTTGAAACAGTGTTCGGATTTCAAGCGATTGGGCACAGGACCGGACCAGAATTACTGGGTATGCTAGTTCTGATATTATCACTTTCGATTTGATCCAAGTTCATCATTCAAGGTGTTGCGACCGGAGTTTCGGCTTCCTAGCAAAGAGGAAGTGTTGGCAATGGTAACTCCTGAAATGTGCTGTGCACAATACAGTATGCTTGCCGCTGAGCAGAGATTGAAGGTCAGTATTAATTTCACATTGTTCCTCATGTTAGATATTCTTGTACATTTTCATCTTTTTCGTGATTTTTATTACACGTTTTTTCTTGTAACTGTTTCGCCTTCCACTTATTTTGTTCTCGCACCGTAGGGGCATCAAAAGGTGATTCTGTGCACGCCTATAACGAAAAATACTGACCTGTTTTTTCATAAGTGTATCCAATATTTGTAATTTTCTATGATTCACCTTTTAGGATGCGGGATATGGTGAGAAGTACTTCTTCACACCTGAAAATGAAGATGATTCTGATGACCAAGTCACCATCGAGGATGAGGTGCAGTTCCTTTCTCTGATCGTAAATTTCTAAAAGAAGTCTTTAGATAAAATGTGCTCCTTGGAATACTACACGTGCTTTTCTGTCTTCAATGCGGGGAAAATGTCTTTTGGATCAAACGGGTATCGCCGATCCTACTGGTTGTGGTCAAGGTTTCAGTTACGTTCGTGTGTCACAGAAACCTCAAAAGGTCAGTTCGAGTTTCAAAAGTTAGTGATCCTAATTTCTCATTGTATCTCCTTTGAAGGATGACACACCAGCCATGCCAAAACGTTTGGTTACGGGTACAAATGCTGATCTCAGGAAACTGCCACTCAAAGAAGCCAAGGAGATTTGCAGAGATTATGGTGTGCGAGAAGAGGAGGTAGATTGTAGTTCTTTTTTTATATTAATTTTGTATTCATTTCCCTTTGTAATGTGCTTTGTGTAGATAAATGCGCTATCTCGATGGGAAATTATTGATGTCATTCGAACTTTATCTACGCAAGCAGCAAAAGCCAAAGCAGATTCTTCTGGAGATCGTAAGCTCATTTTCCATTTTACTTCTTTTCCTTATCAGTCATAGTCAGATGTAAGTGATATGCATATTTAGATACAAATGTTTCTGGGATGGCACGATTCGCTAGGGGTAATATCCGTTTCAACTTCGCTGATATGCAAGAAAAGTACAAAAAGCACTGTCAGCACATATTCGACTTGCAAAACCAGTATGTAGCAAATTTCAGCTGTCAGAATAACACAAAAAAAAAATAGTTTTTTTAGAACCTTAGCCAATCCCGAAGCTCTTTCGACTGATGAAGGCAGCTCGGGTGAAGATTCTGACAATGAGGAATTGGCTACAAGGCTGGAAACGATGCTGCAAGCCAACAAAGGTAAGGTTTGGCACTTAGCACTGCATGTTGGCCATCGGCAAAAATTTGCAGGAAAAAAGCACATATCAATGTCGGAAAGAGCTAGGATGGAGTTCGAGAGTGAAGAGAAGGAGCGACAAGATCTTAAAAGAATGGTACATGGCGATGCACCCATCAAGACGGAGAAGGACAAAAAGGAGGCCACTGCTGAGGAGAAGAAAAGTATGTTTTTCCTAAAAGTGACTCTATCTTTCAGAATATTTTTGCATGATGATTCCCCATTGAAACCTCATTAGAAATATTTACTTTTTTTCTGAGACCTTTTTTCGGTGTTTCGTCTATACATCCAAAATTTCATTTATGTCTTTTCCCTTGCTTTCCTTGGATCATTGACAGTCATAATTTACATTTATATCTGCATAAAATTTCTTAATCGGAATGTATGAGTGTAAATTATTTGAACACCCCAGTTCATAACTTTCTTTCAGACGTCTCCAAAATTGGTGAGGATCTGGCCGCATCTGCGTCGAAAATCTCTGGTATCACAGCCAATCAAAAGCTGAAAATCTACCGAACAATGAAGAATCCAGATGGAACTGAATCGGTGAGAAACATCTAGATTATTTGCAAAAGTTGTTCTCATAAGGGAAGGATACCGACATTAGTTGGCGATTGA